AGTTATATGAGTTGAAGAGATTGTTGCGACGTGCCATGCTTTTCAGCAGCCGAAAACGCGTTCTGCCATGTCTATTTGCTGCAGGATTCGATGAGGAGGATGTCCTCTACAGGGAGACAACATCTAGGGTACGTTCATTAATAATTACTACTAATATTTGTTGATGAAATTTTGGGTTTTTATTGTAAATGACCAAATTGGATTTCCATACACTAGTAAAAAAAAGATTAGAAAGCGCAATATACGCTTCGGTTTAAGCGAAACCGAAGCGTATAAAAGCACGGTGGCAGATTCGTAATAATAACTTAAGTATATGCTTCGGCTGTCCCAGGACCGGTGTCTAAAACGTGCTACTAACTCGGTTCTACGTAAAACCGAGGCATAAACCGCTGCTCCGCTTTACAGCTGATGGGACTGATAAGAGCTATTAAATCGGTTGCTCAGCAACCGATGCCTAAAAAGCACTACTAACTCGGTTTTGATGAAAACCGAGGCATGTGCTCCTTCTCCATTTCTCTTATGCTATTTTTCACTTTCACCGCCCAACATCTTCTTCTTCCCTCCCTCGTGCTCTCACTTCTCCCAACATCTTTCGTGCTCTCACTTCTTCTCTGTCGTGCTCTCACTTCTTCTCTGCCGTGCTCTCCCACTCTTCCCTCCGTTCTCTCCCATTCTACTGTAGCCTCCGTCGCTGCCTCCGCCGCTCCAGATCGCCATCGCCAAACCGCTCCAGATCGCCAAGCTGTTCCAGATCGGCGAGCCCTCCGCCATTGCTGCCTCCGAAAACGAGATCCCTTTGGCTGTTCGCGATCATTAAGGAGAACTTTATAGTGCTCCATAAATGTTTTAATGAGTTAGGGATAAGGTAGAGGTGTATTGTCCCATAACGCCTTTTTCATGTGATGTCTGATTAGATGAGTACAATTAATCTCCCTTGAAGTTAAAAGTATTCATATCAAAATTAAATATTCTTATGTTTCTTGTGTAAGGTTAATGGTACAAGGAACCAAAATGCGACAAGTTAGAGGAACCAAGGCGTGAAACATGAACAAGATAAAGGCCACTTAACTGAAGTCATTTGGGGGGTTAGCAACTTCAACCTTGAAGTTGTCTAGCCCCCCTCCCCCCGACTTCAAGCTTGAAGTGTTTAACCCCTCAAATGACTTCAGTTATGTTTAATGAATTAACACATCTATGGCACTAGGATTGAACCGTTCACAATCTCATACGAGATTTTAATAAAATTCTTAATCAAGGATTACTACAACATCTATGGTAATCTATGCTTTTGTGAGATTGAACATGTCTGAAGCTTCGAGGAAACGCTAGAAGGGGAGGGGGTGGGGGTGAATAGTGTTTTCATAACTTTTCGCAATCTACAAGTTGATCATGATGTAAGTAACACTTTATGAGTTGTTAGGCCTTGGTTGGTAAACGTTATCCTGAATGATCGTTTACATGGCCAACTCAGCATGTCCAACGTTTATACGTGTAGGTAGTACTTTTAAACAAAGCAAGGCGTACGATGAGAGTGAGAGCGTGGAATCTCTAATTATACTACATTGTTTATCGATAGACTAAAATGCACAAAATGTTTTACATTGGTTCACCTATTAAGGCTACGTCCAATTCTCCACTAAGTTAACTTAGAGGGTTCCATTAGATATTCATTGAAGTACATTTAAGTTTAACTCACTCCTAATTGTGTAGTATTATTCACCATTCTTGGTATCCCTGATCAGCGAATAACCTCTAGTTACCCTATATCAGTTCAGTATTCTCACCACTCCTGACACTCAGCAACCCTTGCCGAGATTTCCTTGAGTATTCACACCACTCTTGGTATCCCTAGGTAATCTGGTATCCATGACTAGTTGAGTTTCACCCACTATTGGTTGTGTAGTATTCTTCATCACTTCTGATATCCCTGGTCAACAAATAACCTTCAATAATCCTATATCAGTTGAGTATTCGCACTACTCCTGGTATTAGACGACTTCATCTAGAATTCCTTAACCTTTCAAAGTTAAGTTGTAAGTGTTTTGATTCTCTCTAGAATTGTAATAATAGATTTCCTACAAGTCGTTCAGACCATAAGTCTCATAGAGAAGATATGTTTACAGTACAATACAGTCTAAACACTCACATGTGTTTTTCTCATCTATGTTTTTCTCACCTTACATAAGTAAACAATTAATACAATAAAGTACTAGAGGGATGCTTTACTTTGCTCTTTATTTCTCGTTGTAGAAAATAGTAAACATTACAATGAAAATTGAGAGATCTTCTTCTGTGTTTCACTTTTTCACTCTCTCTTCTTTCTTCAAATGTATGTTTTTTCAATTGCTTGAATTCCAATCTTCAATCTCTCTGTCTCATAGTGTTGTATTTTTCTTTTTTCTCAAATGTTACGTATATCTTTTTCTACCTTTTCCTTCTTTTTAAACATATCTCCTTAGTATTTGAATACATATCCATTCAATTTTAGATACACATATCTACCAATAGGTCAGCACATCACATTGAAAATGCAGAACATCATAAATTTAACAATCATACAATAACATATTTTACACTTATATTAACAAAATAAATAAATAACATGAACTTTATGGTTTACTCAAAACTTGCACACTAATTAAGCTACATAACACATTGTGAACTCATGCAGATTTTAATAAAACATACTCAAGTCTTATTTATAAACTCTACATTTTCTCGGGTCTTACAGAGTCCATGTTAAAGCAAGCCACCAATATCCAAAATAAATGACTGGCGTTATTCACAAAAATCAACAATAATCGACATTTTGTCATGTCCATTGTTATGATCGAGAAAGTTTTGAATTTGACATCGAAGAAATCTCAACCCCCACCAATATCGCCCTAATCCGATTTCATTTAACGTCAAGTTAAAAGATTGGTGGTGTCATTGTGGTCGCTTCCAAGTAGTGCTGTCAAAACATGTTAATCAACTCGACCCGGCTTAGGCCACCATGGGTTGGCCACTTAGTGAGCCAACCCAACCTGACTCATTTATTAGTAAGCTAAAAAAATACGAACCCAGGCTGAGCGATCATGGGTTGATGGGTTGATTGCCTTATTGGTTCACTTAATTACAAGTTCTTTTTTTCAATTCTAAAATGAATAACAAATTTTTGCTAATTAAAATATAAATAAATTTTATTCCAAATGATTTTAAACTACATAGACAATTCAAAATAAAAAATACAATACAATCCAAAATCATTTAAAACTCCATATACAATCCAAAAGTAAGAAATAAAAGAAAAATAAATAAGTATCTAACATTGATCATTTTTGTGTCAATTATCCATTTATAAGATTAGAGTCTTGAATGGATAAATCTACAATATTTTACCCTCTTGAAGGATCTTCTTCTTTATTCTCATCTACAATTCAATAAAGAAGAGCGTTAACTAATAAATTAAAAAAATTGGGCGGTTGGTGAGCTAACCGAGATCCTTAGTGAGTCGAGTTCAAAATTGGCCTATTTCGAAATTTCAAATTTTTTTCTAACCCAACCTGGTCCAAACTCGTGGTGGATCGGGTTGACTCACGGATTCCAACCCGTTTTGATAGCACTACTTCCAAATGAATCGCCTCCCTTATCATCATGTTATTACCATTTGTGCATATTGTCATATACCACTGAGGAAATATATCGATGCTATACCATATCCTTAAATGCGACATAAGTCATCAGAAATACCAACTACTATTAGAATCCATAACAAGATGAATTAATCAATCTCGAATAAGCCCAAAAAATGTTCTTACTATGGTAAAGAAGATCATCATAGGAAGACATGTCGATTTCGTCAATAATTTTAACATCTTTGTATTCATAATTCTTTAATATTAAGAAATTAGACTTTTGCCTTCTATTCTACCTTTTATTCTACCTAGTACATTCTACTCATAATGAGTATAAACCACAAATCACATGATGAACAACTACATCAAGTCTTCTATAACTAAACTCCTCTATGGTAATTGATTACGAAGGCTTGCAATCGATTACATTTGTGTGTTTACCATCTATTACTTCAGGTAATCGATTATATTATTATTGTAATCGATTATATTAGCATGTAACATGAATTACAACCTCGAGTAATCAATTATAGCTTGTCATAATCGATTACAAGTCATAAAAGTTATGTGGTATATAACTTCACCTTTTACCCATTGTTAGAGCATAATTCATGTCGGAGGTGTACCCAAACGATCACCAAGGATAAAATAATGAGCAGTCATATGACTATTCCCGAACGATTGTCCACCCGCTAGAAAGAGCGATCGTTATATCATATTCACCGATTGGCTTATAGCGATCGTCTGTTGATTAAACCCAGTCAAAGGTAAGAGTCAACAGATATTCGGTCAATTTTAGTCAAAACAGATCTTTTAATCCTGACAAATTAAAGAATAAACGGTTACAAATAGGTGGCCATGATGTCGCAAATCGCAGAACCAACTAACCCAATATCAAGTACGACCAAGCGGTTGTATTTTCCAAGCGGTTAAGTTCTCCAACCAACTGGATTTTCAGGTAAACGGTTTATCTTAATGCTAGGTTAAATATGAAAAACTAGAAAGAAAAAAAGGTACGTTTTTCTGGATATCAGGAGAGGAGGAAAATATATTTATTTCTTCTGTTATTTGGACTGAGAGAGTTCTATCATTCCCTTTTTCTGACTTGAGCATCAGAGTGCCTTCGCAGGTACTCACTCCATTCTCCCTGAAGAGTTCTAGGCAGGAGGAAGACGTAAAGATAACTACATTACAGGAAGGAGAGGACGTGACTCATCGGATTCGTATCTCGGCCTCAACTAGTATACTGAAGTGTGGAGCTACTCGACTTGTTTATTTACTTAATTTTTTAAAAATTTACCCATTTACGTAATATATATGGGAATCCAATTTGGCCATTTTCGTTATAGATTCTGAAATTTTGTTTGGCCATTTGAACTGAAAATGAATTTTGCATCTCAGATTCTGAAGCCTGCTTTCACGATTATACGTGATAAAGAATCAAAATGTTTGCTCGTGTTCATCCGTGGCACTCGTAGCATAAAAGACACTCTAACAGATGCACTATGTGCTCCTGTCTCTTTCAATCACAACACGGTTTCAGGACATGCACACCGTGGTATGGATGCTGCAGCTTCTTGGATTGGAGAACGTTGCATTCCTGTACTACTTAAAGCTCTTCATCAGTACCCCCACTTCAAGATCAAGGTATTTCTTCATTTTACTTATATGTTTTTCATAGTAATAATAATAATATTTCCATGTATTATATATATAGATCGTTGGACACTCCCTAGGTGGTGGTACTGCTGCACTGTTGACTTATAAGCTTAGAGAAATTCAACAGTTGTCTTCAACAACTTGTGTCACCTTTGGCCCAGGTATACACACTTCTTTAATTAACACATTGAGTAACTAATTCAATATGGTTTTGTATTAGAATTAAAATAATTACATGATTGTTTTTTATTAACAAGACGTTAATAGTTTCAAAATTGTAATTTTTGTAGCTGCCTGTATGACATTGGAATTGGCTGAGTTCGGAAAACCCTTTGTCACTTCCATTGTAAATGGTTCTGACATAGTGCCAACAATGTCAGCTTCTTCTGTTCATGATTTCATTGCTGAGGTAACAACGTACAATATTTTTGCCAAATATTTATTTGTTACATGTTGATTTCTCATGATATACTTTAGAAAAATGGTTTCATTCTTTGCAAAAGTAAGCTTTTATGATTTGGTATCGATTGAATAATTTACAGGATCGGACTAAGGATAATAAAAACATAAGCGGAATTAGAGCTCGCTTATCTTTTGCCAAAGCTGTTACAAAATATGCAGCAAACTATTGTTACGAGGTAGCTTCAAGCTCCCTTCTTTATAATATACATTTAAAACTGAAATCTGTGTGTGTTCTATAGGTATTAAGTCTCCATTAGTTTTGCAAGAGTTTACACTTAATTGATTCAGTGATCTTACTAGTTTTCTTATACAATATTGATCCTTCTCTCTGCCTAATAAAGGCTGTGAAGAAGCATGTGAAGAAGCATAAACACTCATGGTTACCGAAGTCCAAAAGTGAGAAGACTCACACATTGTCAGACAACTTGGGTGAAGCTTCTGGATCATCTGGGACAAGGTTTTTACCTCTTTCAAGTGAAGAGCGCTTACAGATAGAATCTATTAATGACGATGCTGAATATATTTCTAGCAATGAAGGATCTGACAATATGGATGACTCAGATGACGATGAAGAGCAATTGTTGAATCAAACGGGGAATCATGAAGAAGATAGTGTTAGTCAAGATACAACATTAGCTCGGCGACGTCTTTATCCACCAGGCAGGATCATGCATATGATCACTTCACAGATGTCTGAAAATTCAAACTCAAACCACAATGATGCTGATGAAAAATATGTCTGCTTATATCAAACGCCTACACAACTGTATGGAAAACTCAGATTTTCAAGAGGAATGATATTGGATCATCGCACGAAAAAGTATATGAACAATCTGCAACAATTAATCGATAAACTAGAGAAAAGTGATTCAAATATCGTGGAGGATTAACTTAGAGGTAACACAGATTTTATTTGTTGTAACTATTTGTTTTGGAGTTTGTTAAAGAATAAAAGTTGTATTTGTTTTTTTTTACTTTATTTATTTATACAGTCATCCAATAAATTTTTCATCTTCCTCTGATAAAAAAATTTATTTTAAAGATATTTGAGTTGAGAGAAATCATAATATATACAAAACAGATAAGTTGTATTTTATTTTTCTTTTATGGTAAGGAGAGTGAAACACGATTCAATAATGAATTTATCAAACATTTTGATGATGCAAAAAAAAAATATTATCAAAGAAATGACACTACGGATTTTGAGTGTTTTTTCACCAATTTTGATAATGGGAAATTTTGAATTTTTTTAGTGTGATGATAGAAATTCAGGATACTAACATTGTAAAAATAATTAGCTTACATTGTTTCACTGTGTTGGTATTGTTTATTTTTTATAACTGTATATTATATGTGAGTAGAGATAATATAAATAATAATAAATACACATAGTTCATAGTTATGCTCATACACCCCAAATTGTGTTTCACAATATACATTTAATATACAATTTAAATATATTCATTCTAAGTGAGATTAAGGTTGTGAAATGAAAAATGTTAACGAGAAACTTAAATAAAAATTAAAAATATATACAGATATATTCTAATTAAAGTATTAATTTTGAAAAGTAAATTAATGATTATTGGTTAAGTGTGGACATTATGATATCTAGGTTAATGAATTATTTGTGAGTTTACTTGTTTGTTTGATGTATAGATAATTTTTTTCATTGTAAAGTTTGCATTTGCATTTTAGTAGTTTTGACGTTTTAACTTGCATATTATGTTTTGATTTTGAAGAAGACGAAGTAGAAAATATTGAAAATTTTGTGAATCTATAAGTCCGGTTAACTAGGAATTGACTTTATATAGTTGTTTTTGTTTCGATTTTCAGAAACAGAGGTCTAAAGATATACAAAATTTTCAAACATCCGTTGTTTTTCTTAATTATTCTCTAAAGGTTTAGATAAATAAATTTTTCTTATAGAGCCGAAAGTGCAAAGACTTTAACAACTTTAACAAACTTCTGCAAACACTAGTCAGAGGAAATGACACCGATTATTTTCGTTCATAGGCAACGGTTTCAGAACCGAGACATATTCAGACGAGGCAAAAAGTGGTAGATTTTTTTATCTCGGTTCCGAACCGAGTTACTTTGTCTCCCTCTACTGTCTCGGTTGGAACCTGAACCGAGGTAGTAGGATCTTTTTTTTTTCTTTAGCCACCTTTGTGCTTCGGTTCTGATTTCATTTCTAGATTTTAATTTCAAACCGCCAAACTCCCAAACTGAAAAAAATCAAGATTGCAAAGACAGAAGCCCAAAAATGAATTTGAAATGAAATCTTTGTCTCACGCCCTTCTTCTAGATTCCCTACACTTCTCCCTTTCTCACGCCCTTCTTTCAACCCTTCGTCCACCATCCTCCGCCATTCTACTTCTTCCGATAGACGAGTGACTAGAATGGCTATGAAAAACGTTAAAGATGAACAAGACCCGCGCTTGAAGAGAATCTCCTCTGCAATCCAAGTTATACCTGATTTTCCCAAGCTAGGAATTTTGTTTCACGACATAACCATGTTGTTTCACAAACTCAGATAACAAAACTCGAACCCCAAAATTAGATGAATAGCTGAAACACTAAATCGCAAAAACAAGAATAGAAACCCAAATCTGAAAATGAAAAACCTAATTCTCCAATTCTCAATTTCAAAAACCCTAAAATGCCAAATCGACAAACGATTCACTCCGCTGTCGCCTTCCTCGCAACGAGCCACCGCCGTCCTCGCGCAGTCGTCTCCATCGAAGAAGTCGGAGTTGGAACCTTCGCGGAAGCGCTGCCGCTATTAGACGCGACCTCGTCGCGCCTCGCCGCTATCATACGTGACCTCGACGCGCCTCGCCGCTATCAGACATGACCTCGCCGCGCCTCGCCGCTATCAGACGTGACCTCGTCGCGCCTCACCGTTATTAGACGCGACCTCGCCGCGCCTTGCCACTATCAGACGCGACCTCGCCGCGCCTTCGCCGCTATCAAACACGACCTCCCACGCCTCGCCGCTATCATACGCGACCTCACCGCACCTCGCCCCGTCTCTCCACGTCTTCGTTGGCCACTCACCTCCATCACAACACTCTCGCTGCTCGTCCGCATTCAAGGGAAGAAGAGAAAGGGAAGAAGCTTCAGCCTATATTGCCTCGCTGCTGGTGCGCGTTCAAGGGAAAGAAGCTTCACCCTTAATTAGGTCACTAGGCCCACTTGGAATCAGAAAGAGAAAGGATCTGGGCCTATACGGCCTTGATTCAAAATATAACAAAGGTAATATTACTATAATGTTTTGGTTCTTCAACCTAACCGGTGCCTATTAATATTGACTTCACTGACTTGACGTGTTGCAGGCATGTTTCAAGTCTTTATGCTTCGGTTCTGCATGCAACTGAAGCAGTATCACGTTTTCTAACCATTTCAGACGAAAAGCCTGGAAAATTAGTACATGTTTAGGCACCAGTTGCCTTTGAAACTGAAGTGGTAGAGCTGTTCTGCACCGGTCTTCTTTGAACCGAGGCCTATAAGGTCTCCTTAATTGTGAAACTGCCACCGCGCCTGGATAGGTAGAGGTTTGGTGTAAACAGAGGTCTAATGTGCGAGTTTAAAAGCACATTTTGTACTAGTGAAACCTCTACTACTTCATGATGGTTGTGGCCTCCAGTCCAAGTCTCCACCACACTCAACACCTCCTTTTTTAATCTCATTTTGCACTTCAACTTCTTCTTCCACATTTCCTTTTGTACCATCTCAATATGTCCCAAACCTCCAACCTTACTACCCTCATCACTCTCTACAAGCCATTGACATAGGTAAAGAATTTGATTCTCATTATTTTCTACAACCACTGGTTTGTTCATGCCATGTACAACATAGTTGACTTTTCCCAAATAATTTGTCACTTTCATCATATTTATAGCTCCTCTATCATCATACAGTTTATGTAAAACATGTATATTATAATATAACTCTTGTACTTCAACGTATCCCAAATCTTTAAGTGCACCTAGTACTTCAAAATAACTCCATTTATCAGGGTCAACATCCCAATAAGCTATCTCCCCACCTATATACTTAAAGGGCACTTCTTTTATCAAGGTCCCACTATGGTGGATCACTACCTCAAACCTTTCCTCAGACATCTCAATCCCTACCGTGTAAATTAAAACGGAGACCATTGAATTAACTTAAAGTAACACTTATGGGACCAATATCAACCCCCAAAGTGCGACAAATTTTTCCATAGTTAAGCCCCCCAAAATGCTATAAATATCATATTTAAACCCAAACTGACAACGCATTAGAAAACAATTACAGATTCCACCCATTTCACCCATTGAAGACGACAAACACCCTCCATGAAAGCAAATAATAACGAATCACGAACCCTTACCCAAAACCACCACCAACAAAATCAGATTAAGAACACTTACCTCACCAACACTGTTGAACGAATAACGAACCATGAATCACGAACCAAATTTCAACACCAATTAAAAGTAGATTGTTGAACCCTAAATCGCCCCAATTCAAGAATTGATTTTACCCTAAACGTAATTTCTCGTCTTTAATCCCTAAATTGATTTTAACCTGTGTTTTATATTTTCCACGCCATTTACTTTTATTCTCATAAATAACACCTCAAATGACCTCAGTGCCATGTCAACCATAATTGTCCAACTCATCAAGTTTTTACCAGTGGGCAAGTCTGTCATTAGCTTTTTTAACACGGTAAGCAAAAAGGATTAACGTGAACCGTTTTTGCAAAATATAGGATGTTAGTGAACTTTTGAAAGAAAAGAGGACAACTTTGAACACACCTTACGAACCCGAGAGACCAAAATAGGTATTAAACCATTAAAAAAAACCCTACATATTCTATTTAGGAATCTTAATGGGATTTTTAATTAATACTAATTCATTCAGTTTTCTAACATGGGAGAACATCAATCAGGGAATTTTGTTATCATAATTCAAAACATCGAAATATAACATTCATTAATGGACCAAGAATTTAATCCAGGCTATAAACAATTAAATGAAAATCCCTAAACTTTATAACCATAATTTCTCATAAAATTGGAAAGATCAAATTAAGGTTTGTGTCAATTAATCACTAACATGCTCTAATACTTTTAGAACAATAGAGAGGAAAGGCATTTGAAAGATTAGACGTTGAGAACAATTAATAAGTAACTTGAATTGGTGTTTGATCTTTGCTCTCTAGAGCACCGTAGGTTCCCTTTGTATTTTCTCTTCTGAGCATAAAGAGAAAGAAATATGAATGACACAATGGGCTCACAGATGGAGACCATGACCCTTTGATTAATCTCTGTCAGTTACTTTTTTTTAGTTTCAATAATAATAATTTGACCCCTTCAACAAATTAAAATTATTAATGGTCTCAACACAATATATTTTTTATGACAAATATACCCTTAAACATATTTACTTAATTAGATCAATTTATAAAGTGGAATAATGAAATATAATGATCCTAACACATTTAATAATTGTTATATATATATATATATATATATATATANTTAACACATCTATGGCACTAGGATTGAACCGTTCACAATCTCATACGAGATTTTAATAAAATTCTTAATCAAGGATTACTACAACATCTATGGTAATCTATGCTTTTGTGAGATTGAACATGTCTGAAGCTTCGAGGAAACGCTAGAAGGGGAGGGGGTGGGGGTGAATAGTGTTTTCATAACTTTTCGCAATCTACAAGTTGATCATGATGTAAGTAACACTTTATGAGTTGTTAGGCCTTGGTTGGTAAACGTTATCCTGAATGATCGTTTACATGGCCAACTCAGCATGTCCAACGTTTATACGTGTAGGTAGTACTTTTAAACAAAGCAAGGCGTACGATGAGAGTGAGAGCGTGGAATCTCTAATTATACTACATTGTTTATCGATAGACTAAAATGCACAAAATGTTTTACATTGGTTCACCTATTAAGGCTACGTCCAATTCTCCACTAAGTTAACTTAGAGGGTTCCATTAGATATTCATTGAAGTACATTTAAGTTTAACTCACTCCTAATTGTGTAGTATTATTCACCATTCTTGGTATCCCTGATCAGCGAATAACCTCTAGTTACCCTATATCAGTTCAGTATTCTCACCACTCCTGACACTCAGCAACCCTTGCCGAGATTTCCTTGAGTATTCACACCACTCTTGGTATCCCTAGGTAATCTGGTATCCATGACTAGTTGAGTTTCACCCACTATTGGTTGTGTAGTATTCTTCATCACTTCTGATATCCCTGGTCAACAAATAACCTTCAATAATCCTATATCAGTTGAGTATTCGCACTACTCCTGGTATTAGACGACTTCATCTAGAATTCCTTAACCTTTCAAAGTTAAGTTGTAAGTGTTTTGATTCTCTCTAGAATTGTAATAATAGATTTCCTACAAGTCGTTCAGACCATAAGTCTCATAGAGAAGATATGTTTACAGTACAATACAGTCTAAACACTCACATGTGTTTTTCTCATCTATGTTTTTCTCACCTTACATAAGTAAACAATTAATACAATAAAGTACTAGAGGGATGCTTTACTTTGCTCTTTATTTCTCGTTGTAGAAAATAGTAAACATTACAATGAAAATTGAGAGATCTTCTTCTGTGTTTCACTTTTTCACTCTCTCTTCTTTCTTCAAATGTATGTTTTTTCAATTGCTTGAATTCCAATCTTCAATCTCTCTGTCTCATAGTGTTGTATTTTTCTTTTTTCTCAAATGTTACGTATATCTTTTTCTACCTTTTCCTTCTTTTTAAACATATCTCCTTAGTATTTGAATACATATCCATTCAATTTTAGATACACATATCTACCAATAGGTCAGCACATCACATTGAAAATGCAGAACATCATAAATTTAACAATCATACAATAACATATTTTACACTTATATTAACAAAATAAATAAATAACATGAACTTTATGGTTTACTCAAAACTTGCACACTAATTAAGCTACATAACACATTGTGAACTCATGCAGATTTTAATAAAACATACTCAAGTCTTATTTATAAACTCTACATTTTCTCGGGTCTTACAGAGTCCATGTTAAAGCAAGCCACCAATATCCAAAATAAATGACTGGCGTTATTCACAAAAATCAACAATAATCGACATTTTGTCATGTCCATTGTTATGATCGAGAAAGTTTTGAATTTGACATCGAAGAAATCTCAACCCCCACCAATATCGCCCTAATCCGATTTCATTTAACGTCAAGTTAAAAGATTGGTGGTGTCATTGTGGTCGCTTCCAAGTAGTGCTGTCAAAACATGTTAATCAACTCGACCCCGGCTTAGGCCACCATGGGTTGGCCACTTAGTGAGCCAACCCAACCTGACTCATTTATTAGTAAGCTAAAAAAATACGAACCCAGGCTGAGCGATCATGGGTTGATGGGTTGATTGCCTTATTGGTTCACTTAATTACAAGTTCTTTTTTTCAATTCTAAAATGAATAACAAATTTTTGCTAATTAAAATATAAATAAATTTTATTCCAAATGATTTTAAACTACATAGACAATTCAAAATAAAAAATACAATACAATCCAAAATCATTTAAAACTCCATATACAATCCAAAAGTAAGAAATAAAAGAAAAATAAATAAGTATCTAACATTGATCATTTTTGTGTCAATTATCCATTTATAAGATTAGAGTCTTGAATGGATAAATCTACAATATTTTACCCTCTTGAAGGATCTTCTTCTTTATTCTCATCTACAATTCAATAAAGAAGAGCGTTAACTAATAAATTAAAAAAATTGGGCGGTTGGTGAGCTAACCGAGATCCTTAGTGAGTCGAGTTCAAAATTGGCCTATTTCGAAATTTCAAATTTTTTTCTAACCCAACCTGGTCCAAACTCGTGGTGGATCGGGTTGACTCACGGATTCCAACCCGTTTTGATAGCACTACTTCCAAATGAATCGCCTCCCTTATCATCATGTTATTACCATTTGTGCATATTGTCATATACCACTGAGGAAATATATCGATGCTATACCATATCCTTAAATGCGACATAAGTCATCAGAAATACCAACTACTATTAGAATCCATAACAAGATGAATTAATCAATCTCGAATAAGCCCAAAAAATGTTCTTACTATGGTAAAGAAGATCATCATAGGAAGACATGTCGATTTCGTCAATAATTTTAACATCTTTGTATTCATAATTCTTTAATATTAAGAAATTAGACTTTTGCCTTCTATTCTACCTTTTATTCTACCTAGTACATTCTACTCATAATGAGTATAAACCACAAATCACATGATGAACAACTACATCAAGTCTTCTATAACTAAACTCCTCTATGGTAATTGATTACGAAGGCTTGCAATCGATTACATTTGTGTGTTTACCATCTATTACTTCAGGTAATCGATTATATTATTA